ATATATAATAATAATTTCAGCACATCGCTTGGTTTCCCACTTGTTAGTGCTTTTTAAATCACTCCTTACACAATTGCTACTCCACCTGCCAAAAAAAATCACTGCTGCTTTCCAAACCACCCTTTGATTGACAGTGCCAATATTCCATATGCTGCCATGCCAACCACTACACAAATGCTAGTTTGAGCTCTTCCCCCCCCCCCCCCCCCTCCTCCCCCTTTTCTGCGCCGCGCCGCTCTCCTTTTTTGGTAAGAATTTTATGAAACAAAGCTGTGCCATCCGGACCAAACAGTTACTAATTGCACTGACATAACATGTTCATTTGTTTTGATATTCAAAAACAATGCAAAGTATAAATTTTAAAGATGATTAACATTTCTCTGATAAACCCGTTTTCGGTTTATGATTTTCTGTATTTTTAGTGGGGCCCACAGACCATTTTCTGTCCAATGAAGTGTCTGGGGGAGAAAACAAAACAAAAAAAACAAGTTCGATAACATGTGCTGCAAGTACAAAGCAACCAAATAAACACTGCAAATAGGGTCAGAATAAATTTGCAGTACATTTCTGTATTTGGTGTTGTCAAACTGATGATCTCAAATTGCTGGTGTTTTTTCTATTTGCAAGCATTTTCTTCTGTTGCAGCGCATTGAGCTCTTTGCCACAGTCATTAGCACTATTTCTGGCTTTAAAATACCACAGTTTTTTTATTTTATTAAATGGGCTATTAACATTTAAAGGCGAGACACTGCAGGCGAAGGTACTTTTTTTTTACTAATTATCACCTTACTTACCCAGTTGATTGATTACATTGATAATTGCAAACATTTTTTTGTATTACAAGTTTAGTAAAAAGTTGTTTAAATATGCAAATGAGGCATTAATGAAATGCACCAATTTGCATATTTCTAGTACAAAAATCTGAACACTGGATGAAGTCGGTTTCAAAATTCTTGTTTTTTTTTACATGAGGCAAATATTTTTACAGAGGGAATTTTGGGTCTGTCACAGAAAATACTTTGAACAGCCAGAAAACAATTTTCACAATTTTGGGGGAAATATATTGTATATAAATCAAGCAAATGAACAAATCCCTCTAAAAACCTTCAGAATGTCGACAGGAATAAAAACGTAAAGTTTGGTTTGTATAAGTGCTACTGAAGTGGAGATTTATGGCTCTGTAGGAGAAGAAAAAAAAAAACCTCATTGAGAACTACCTTTAAAATGTGTATTGTAATTGAAATCTATTGACAGACAGTGCTAGAAAAGAAACGCTTAAGTGCCTTTTGGATGTTTTCTTCCCACTGTCTAGAGAGAGACGAGACAGGAACCCCCCCCCCTTGCCTGCAGTGTCTCCCCTTAAATACTAAAAACGAAGTTAGTATAAATCAACATGCAAGGCGTATTGTAACTCATGTGACAAGAAATTACATTACAGAGAAGATCCCCTCATGACATCTAACAGCAAGATTACTTCAGTTTGTCAAGTATAGTCTAGAACATACAAAGATAGGATTCAAAATGTTACTATGTTCAATGTTACTATAGGAATAGATAACTTCAAAGTTTTCCCATTCACTTGTGGATTAAAGGATGGTGTTTGATGGTAACTAATGTACAATCTGTTTTTGAAGGTGTAGCATAGACCAGTTTCTAAAAAAATAAAATAAAAACAAAACAAAAGATGAACTGCACAAAATAAAAACCATTGCCATCAGAAAGTGTGTAAATGCCACACCATCTACTGGACCAGAGTTTAACTTCTCAAACTAAAAGCATTGCGACCTTACGCAGAGACTGCTCACCTGTACTCGAGCTCATGAAAAGCAAGTTACAAGCACCTGACAAATTGCAGGACATGCCAAGATAAAAGGTGTGTTGAACGAGACTTTATTAAGACTCAGAATCAAAACCGACTAAGAGCAATATTTTTCTTGATGACAGCTGTACTCTCTGGGACTGGACATTAGTGGTCTCTCTTCGTACTTGTCATGGGAAAAAAAGCCATAAACAAAATTACAGACCAACTGGTAATTAGAATGTGCAATTTTAAAGTAAATACATAAAGTCACAGTGGGCATACCTTTCTTCCCAGTTTTTAAAGGCATGGGAGATGGACAGTGTCTCTTGCAGATTCCATCACTCTCATCACAAAGCATAGCATCACAGTGTACAAAAATCTGGGGAGAGTAGTCGTCAATGATATGCTTAAATACACAAATAATGTCTCAGATGAAAAAATTACCTGATCTTGAAGTACGACATCATTCTGCACGAAAGTAAACATCTGGATTTCAAAGTGCTTCACATGCGATGGGTATGGAACGCTGTTAGGGGCAACAGGGTGGAAAACCGTCTCGTAACGGTCAGCCAGATTCACACAGCTGTTGAGATCAAACGGACCAAAAAAAACAAAATTTACACTTTGCAGTATCTGCAAAAATGTTAATTTTAACAAAATAAGAGGGATCATACAAAATGAAATTTTTTTTTTGGTACTGACAAGAATAAGCCCACATAAGACATTTATGTAGTCCACAAAAGAGAACCTGAATTTATAAAAATTACCCGGTTCAAAAGTTTACATGCGCTTGTTTCTTAATACCATGCGGTTACATTTTTATTTTGCCTAAATAACATTCCATTTAGTACGGCCCTTCAGAAGATACTTGCAGGTTTCCCAGAAGACAAAATGGGTTCAGTTTACCCTGATCTTCAAATTCAAAACGTTTTCACCACCAGGCTCTTAATGCATCCGGTTTCCTTCTGGAGCTTTTACATTTGTAATAGTGGTGTATGAGTCACTCAGTTGTCCTCAG